AGAGAAAGAAAGGAAGAAAAGAAAGGATAGAAAAAAGGAAGATGGATAGGTGGGAGAAAGGAGAAAGAAAGAGAGAGAAAGAAAGGAAGAAAAGAAAGGATAGAAAAAAGGAAGATGGATAGGTGGGAGAAAGGAGAAAGAAAGAGAGAGAAAGAAAGGAAGAAAAGAAAGGATAGAAAAAAGGAAGATGGATAGGTGGGAGAAAGGAGAAAGAAAGAGAGAGAAAGAAAGGAAGAAAAGAAAGGATAGAAAAAAGGAAGATGGATAGGTGGGAGAAAGGAGAAAGAAAGAGAGAGAAAGAAAGGAAGAAAAGGAAGAAAGAAAGGATAGAAAAAAGAGGAAGATGGATAGGTGGGAGAAAGGAGAAAGAGAGAGAGAGAAAGAAAGGAAGAAAGAAAGAATAGAAAAAGGAAGATGCATAGGTGGGAGAAAGAAAGGAAGGAAGAGAAAGAAAGAAAGAAAGAAAGGAAGAAAGGATAGAAAAAAGAGGAAGATGGATAGGTGGGAGAAAGGAGAAAGAAAGAGAAAGAAAGAGAGAGAGAAATTGTCTTCTAATTCTTCTTAGCACAGCTTCCAACTTGGCCTGGACACAGTCATAGAGAACCAGCCATTCCTACATCATGAAATCTTCGGGATCGGCAAAACCAAACTTTCATTGCTTTCTCTTCTCTTCTCCAGCCCAAATGCCGGAAGCGGCAGATGAGCCAAATAAAAGCTTGCAAAACTCCCAGAGCAGGGCAGCCTCGCTGGCTTCGGAGTCCCTCGACTTCATTCTTCTCCCTTCTGATCTGGGGGTTTCCCCCCACCTTTTTCCCCCCCTTCCTTCCTCCCCGGCTCAGACCGTGGTGGTGATGAACGATTTGGCCACGGCGCTGGACACTCAGGGCCTCTACGACGAAGCCTACGCCCAGGTGAGCAGAGCCGCCGAACTGGCCCAGCAGACCCAGCACACGGATACCCACGTGATCCTGAATAACCTGGCCGGCATCCTGATCCATAAAGGTGAGAGGGGGCCTTGGGGTGAGAATCAGCATTGCGGGGCAGAGAGATGGGAAGAGGTGGGAGGGGGGGAATATCCGGGAGCTTTCAAGAAGAGACTGGACTGTTATCTGTCAGAAATGGCGTAGGGTCTCCTGCTTGGGCTGGGGGTTGGACTAGATGACCTCCAAGGTCCCTTCCAGCTCTATTCTGAATTAATTAAAGTGTTGGGAGCTTCATCAGTGGAAGCTTTCAAGAAGAGACTGGACAGCTATCTGTCAGAAATGGTGTAGAGTCTCCTGCTTGGGTGGTGGTGGTGGGTTGGACTAGATGACCTCCAAGGTGCCTTCCAGCTCTATTCTGAATTAATTAAAGTGATGGGAGCTTCACTGCTGGGCTGGGGGTTGGACTAGATGACCTCCAAGGTCCCTTCCAGCTCTATTCTGAATTAATTAAAGTGGTGGGGGCTTCACTGCTGGAAGCTTTCAAGAAGAGACTGGAGTGCCATTGGTCAGAAATGGAATAGGGGCTCCTGCTTGGGGGGGGGGGTTGGACTAGATGACCTCCAAGGTCCCTTCCAACTCTCTTATTCTTTTATTATTCTGTTATTCGGAAGTGGTGGGAGCTTCATCCGTGGAAGCTTTCAAGAAGAGACTGGATTGCCATCGGTCAGAAATGGCGTAGGGGCTCCTGCTTGGGCTGGGAGGGGGGGGGGTTGGACTGAATCAGGGGTCACCAACCTTTCGGATGTCCAGAACCACTAAATTCATAATTTTAAATCCCGTGGACCACCACTGAATTTTTTTTAAAAAGATAAATAGTATTTTGTGCAATAAAAGTCGTAAAAGGGAAGAAAACTCACTTGACAAATTTCTCATTTAGCAACAGAAATCTTGGGCTCCGTTGTGGTCGTACGTCGAGGACCACCTGCGCTGTATGATCGCATTTGTGTTGCACTGCATTGGATTGTTGTTATTGTCTTCTTCTGTTTTATATTCATTTTCCAACTTTTACAAATTCTGTTGAGATTCTCAATCACCCAGCCGGCTGTCACGCCTAAGGCGGGACTAGAACTCACCATCTCCTGGTGATTGGCCCAAAGTCACCCAGCCGGCTTTCATGCCTAAGGCGGGACTAGAACTCACCATCTCCTGGTGATTGGCCCAATATGCCTAAGGTGGGACTAGAACTCACCATCTCCTGGTGATTGGCCCAATATGCCTAAGGTGGGACTAGAACTCACCATCTCCTGGTGATTGGCCCAATATGCCTAAGGTGGGACTAGAACTCACTGCTTCCTGGCGATTGGCCCAATATGGCTAAGGTGGGACTAGAACTCAACGTCTCCTGGTGATTGGCCCAATATGCCTAAGGTGGGACTAGAACTCACCGCTTCCTGGCGATTGGCCCAATATGGCTAAGGTGGGACTAGAACTCAACGTCTC